ATCAGTATTGGACCTCCCTCAAAAGCACGATGACCAATGGCCCTCACAACCTAGAGTCTCCAGAGGCTGAATATGAAATGCACACACTAGGCACATGTAATAATGACACCCAATACTGCCCCATGGGACTTGGAACCCTGATGCTTACAAACAAGATCTGTCCTTCATCCTCAGACCTCTACAACCCATTCTGAGGGAACTGAACAACAAGGAAACATCTAGAGAATCACAAGAGTGGTAGCAATGATGGGCAAAATTTCAGTTTTTTCAACAGCAGCTCCTCATCCTTCTATTCTCTTCCCAGGTTCAGAGATTAGCAAGGGCAATGACCAGGATGAGGGCAGCATTTCCAGCCAGTACTCCCAAGTACATTGCACAAAAAGAACATAAGAAACAAAAGACATAGGGAACCAGCAGTTAGCGTAATGGCTATGTCGCTGGACTCAAGCCAGGCACGTGTGCGTGTGTGCCCAAGATCCCGAAAGGAGAATGGAGGAGAAGGGATTGCGGCCTGACCATCCCCTCTGGGGTGATTTCTCGCTTTCTGTCTCTCTGTCTCTGTCTGGCGAGTGCACGCGCCCTATAGCAAAAAAATCTCTCCAAAAAAAGAAAAAAAACAAAAGAAAAAGAAATAAAAAAGAAACAAAAGACAGAAATTACACACATTGTTTTTTGAAAAAAATATGTATACATAGATGATTAATGTAGAGAACTTATATTAAGTTTATAAATTTTGTCACTGCAATTATAGTTAAACAAAAAGTTATGAGCAAAATAGTGAACGCTCCATATTAAAAGTATAGACAAATGTGGGGACCAGCAGGTGACGTGGTGGTTAAGGTGCTGGACACACTCCCACATGGCCAACCACGAGTTGAGTCCTGGACCTGGCGGCTTGCTTTCTCACTTTCCCTCTCTCTTGCTCTCTGTGTCTCTCTCTGGCCAAATTAAAATAAATGAATGAATAAATAAAATTTTAAAAATATATATAGACAAATGTTTTGTAAGAATACCATGTGTACCAATACTTAATTTTTTTAATTGTCAAATGAGCTCACATCTTGCTTTTTCATTTATTTAACTTAGGTTGGATTGATAACAATGCTACTTGCACACAATAATTCTGATTAAATTATTTTTGTATATATACATTTGTATATATTTTCGTATATGTAAAATTGAGGTGTGGTATTTCTGAAATTTCTGACAGTACCAACAGCTTTCCCACAGAAACATATTTTACTTATTTATATTGTTTTCATTAATGAAGTATTATAATAAATTTGCAATTAAAGTCAAGTTCTCAATAATGAAAATCAGGATAAATCACACAAAAATCTGGATAAAGATTTTTAAAAGTAGAAGAAATAACAAGTGCTAATATTTAGAAAACCTGAGTGCTACTGCCTACTGGGTGTATCATAAATTCTAACATCAAGATTTTTTAGTGTGAGTAGTCATTACATATGTTATAACTTATCCTTATAAAATGGTCTATTTTAAACTTTACCTTTCAGTCTGATTTAGTGTAATGTTTTAGAATCATTCTTTGAAAAATAAGATACCAGCCATGCATCTTTAAAAAAAAAAAAATAGAAAGAAAGAACAAAAGGAATTGTATACTGTGGAGTGAAAATGTGGCACAGTGGTTAAGGCTCTGGACTCCCACACTGCTGACTGAGGTTCAAATCCTGGACCTGGAGGCTTTTGAAACTCATGTCAGGTGCTTGTGCATACAGGCCCAAAATCCCAAGAAGAGAATGGAGGAGAAGCGATTGCAACATGGCCATCCCCTTGGCGGGTGATTTCTCACTATCTCTGTCTGTCTCTCCAGTGAGTACACATGTCTATAAAAAAAAAAATCTCTTTCTAAAAAAAAAAAAAGAAATTGCATATGGTTTGTTATACATCAACAACGAACACATGGTACAGAATTGTTGTTGAGAAGAGATCATTTAATATCTATGCCTTGGGCTCTGATAATATAGGACATGAAAATGTATTCGTATCAATATTTATTTTCTACAGTATTACTACTTCTCATAGATCAATTTGATGTGTTCCATGTTATATAATCTCACTCTAGCTTATGCTTCCACTATATGTCTCAGTGGCTGGGTTTTTAATTGTGTATTGTAATGTGGGTTGATATATGGAGATGTAAGTAGTGTGAAATGCAACCATGCATTATGCCTAGCATTCTTCCACCTTTCCTAAACTTTCTTTAAAGTTTATTTCCTGAATGTGAAAGAAAAAGAGAAAGAAGTACCCCCAACAGGGTTTATGCAAATGAGCCCTGATCTTCCATATGATTTTCAGCATCACAGAGCATTGTGCTACCACTATGCCAGTGCCACTGGGCCACTTTCTTAAACTTTTAATTCTATGTCAGCACTAGTATTATAGAAAGGACTTACTTTGGCAGAGTTCCCCAACTCTCTTCTCCAATTCTGACTTTTCTGGGAGATCCTAATTTCCTTTTGTCCATCCTTGGAAAATAATCAGGGATACAGGGACCACACAGTTGCTAACACTTTGAGGGATCCAGCACTGCACTGGACTTTAAATATAGCATTGCACAATTCTCCCCCAAGATTTTCCCTTATTGATCAAAGCCTGAATTCACCTTCACCACAGACAAAAGACAGATGGAGGATTTTTTAGCGTTGCCAGCTTATTCTACTCCTTGAAGTTCTGATTTTGTCTCTTTTATCATCCTAAAGCTTGAATATGGTAAGTATCCCTCGAGGGACAGAGGGAGTGATTTGTACAAGCCAGTTGGCTACTATCAGATAGGCACCCGAAAAAGTCATTTAAAATAATGCTAATAATGTCTCCCACCCCACTCAGTAATCTGGTCACTAAGACCTGTGAGTTGAAGGAAGGGGAAGCATACTTTTCAAATTCAGAACACTGCTCTTTCCATAAACACTACTCACGCCTCTGGAACCAAACATAGTTCACTGACCCCAGAAATTGGGATCACCATATTAGAGATATGAGAAAATGAAGAGTGAACTGTGTATCAGGCACATCAAAATGAAGTCCCAGGGCCAGCAACCTCTTGGTGGAGGTTAAGGTGTTGGATTTCCACATGGCCATGCTTTTGTCCCAGACCTGGAAGCTTGAAAATCATGCCAGATGAGTATGTGTACATGCCCAAAATCCCAGGAAGAGTCTGGAGGGGAAGGGAGTGTGGTGTCATCATCTTTCTGGGGGATAATTTCTCACTTTCCTCTTATCTCTCTCTGGTATACACATTCCCAATAGCAAAAAAAAAATATTAAAAAAGAATAGGTACCAGAGATATTTGGTCTACAATCCCTGACCTTTACAACTTTTGGGACTCTTGTGCTCAAAAACATCACAATGCAATTAAGTCACAATGTCTACCTCAAAGAGGTTCACACACCCCCTCACCCCCAGCACTCAGGAAGCATGAGACTCAACTGTTCCTTAGCTCAGACTCGATTAACCCCTGAGTCTGACTCCAAATTTTCAGTTCTTGGTTTCTTCTTAAGTAAGAACCCACAGTGCTCCTCCGCCCATACCCACAGTCCATCTTTTCATTAGCTTTCATTTTCAATACATGTTTGCATTAAGCCACCATCACTTTCTGGGGGATGAAATGTCTGCCCACTTTATGAGTAGTAGCATCACTAATAGATCAGCAGTTTACAGGAGAGTGACTGGGTGGATTGAGAAAGTGTCAGTTACTCTCACTGAGACATAGTGAACATAAAGTAAGAACAAGCCAGGGAAAAGACACTGAACTAACTATATTTGGACATGCTGAGTCAGAAATTTCCCTGGGATTCCCCAAAGGAAGAACAGTTAGGTGTGTAAAGTACAAATCTCAGATATTTGGAAAAAAGCCAGACCTTTGGAAATGGCCAAACAGGGATAAAGAAAGAATTGTTATACTTTCAGCAAGCTCCACTCTGTAAGAGTATGGAGAAGCAAACAGATTTAAGGAAGACGCTTTGAGAAACAGCTCATTATGTCAAATTGTGCAGGAAATTTGGGAAGATGAGGATGACAATTTTTTTTTTGATTGCCAGAGGACATGAGTGCTCACCAGAGCAAGACAGAGAAAGCACGCCTCCATGGGTCATAGTCATACCACAATTCCTTCTCCTTCCTTGCTTGACCTCATCAGGATTTTGATCATGTACACATGTGAACCCAACATGTTTTTCAAACTGCAAGGGCCAGGATTCAAACTGCAGTCAGCTATGTGGGATCTGGCTCCCTTAACCATTGGACCACAGGACTGGCTCAAGAGACAATTTTTAGAAAACGTCTCTATCTTACTGAGGGTAAATCCCTGACTGTAGAGGATGGTGAAATATCACCATTGGAAGGGGAGACACTTTAAAGAAATTTAAAGTCAAAAAGAGAGAGAAAATTTAGTAGTTACTTAGGCAGCAGAGTCAAGCATTATGTAAGACAAAAGAATCTTGGGGCTAGCCCTGTAGCCTCGTGGTTAAGGTAGACAGATCTCACCATGGTGCAAATGCCAAACTTGGGGGCTTAAAAAGCATGCCAGGAGCATGTATGTGTGTGTTTCAGACCCTTACTGGATGGATATGGAAGTGAAGGGATTGTGGATGCAATCAAGGCCCATTGGAGGATGCTCTCTACTTCTTTCCCTCATCTCTCTGGTGAGTGTGTGTACCCCTTGGCAATTAAAAACAAAAACAAACAAATAAAAAACAGGAAGAGGCCTGTTGAGACTTTTCAAGTAGTGGGAAGATGGTGATGGTGAAAGAATCGATTGCCAATTGATCACAGGCAAAAATGCCTAAAAAATTCAAGATTTTACCAACCATGTCCAAAAGACTCTGCACTTAGGGTCAGGAAAACATGTGAAACACAATCCCACAACCATATAACATAGATCAGTCTCTCTCCACATAGCATTCTTTTGCCCACAAGCCCCCAAATTTACATCACACATGTGATCCAAGCAATCTTTTTTAATGCAGAAAAGGCTTGGGCAGTAAGAGAGGGGCTGTCCAAATGTGCACATGATCTGAATAGGAGGAATCCCCAAAATAAGCTAATTCCCCTCCCCTCCCCTTTCCCTTTCTGTTGCTCCCTCTCCACCAGATGTCTTGAAGCCAACTGGAGGGACCTAGGCATGCGGCATCCCCATAAGCCTCTCAATGGCGGCATGGACGTCTCCACCTGTGGCCATCAAGGCCTGCAGGTTGGCATCATGGTTAGCAAAACCCATGGCCTTCAGATGCTCTAGTTCTTTCTGATAGCGACCTTCATTGAGGAAGGATGAGGATACTGAGGACTGGGTTGGCTGGGAGCAGGCCAGAGACAATGCTTGAAGGAGCTGAAGAACAGCCAAGGTGGGTTGCACAGGGTCTGTTCTATTACCTTGTCTCTCACCCCTAGTTTCAGATATACCTCTAGCACCACGTGGTCCAGCTGGATACCATAAGACAGGTCCCAGCCCAGGCACTTCCCTGGACAGTGTCTGTAGACCTTGTTCTATCTGTATCAATGCCTGCAGTGCCCGTGGATTGGTAAGGATGGGAAGTAGTGGCATTCGATGCCGCAGGGGACTGCCAGTTGCCAGCTGGTGTAGCAGAGTTGGATTCTGCTGTAGGACATGCAAGGCTCTACGCAAAACAGAGGGTGAAGGTCTCAGCTGACTGGTTGAAGTGCCTTTCTCTATCGGCTGTTGGCTATCCTGAGAAGGAAGGTCCAGGCCTGAGTATAAGTCTGGTATACCAGTCCTGCATGCTGAATTGGTCTTATGTGAAGTCATGCTCCTGACTTGACCAACAATTCCCGCACTGATCTCTTGTGCCAATGATCTGGCAGGTGCAGAGGTAGAGTAGATGGCCGTGGTGGTATCAGTACCATTATGAGAACTAGCTTCCCCTCTATGAGACTCTGAACCTGAGATGTGATCTTTGGAGGCAGCCAATAAGGCCAGAGTGGAAAGCATTAATTGTTGGATATTAGAGCAGACTGGACCTGGACGCATAGCATTGTCACCACCTGGCACTGCCTTCAAGGCCTCCAACCTCTTTTTGTCTGGTTGTGAGAGCTCTTGTCGAGCTGGGTTCTGCAAGGTTTCCAGAGCCTTGAAAGCTGGCTCACGTTTCTGTACTGGCCTTGAGGATTCAGGAACATGGTTGCTATTAGCTGCTTTCTCATTTGCCACACTTTGAACTTGAGAGTCTTCCAGGAACTGCACTGCAGACTCAGGCGCAGCTATCAGGAATTGAGCCAGCTGGCCAAAGAAGTCAGCCAGATCAGGTGAACTCCTGGCCAGTCGACCCAGTCTAACTAGCAATCCAGCCCCCTCAGAGGCTGATGGTTCAGCACGATGGGTGCAATGGCCTGTAAGGCCTGGTAGAGTTCCAGGACTAGCCGACTCTTTCAAACGGGTCCTCACCACCAAGTGGACGGTAGTGCCATCTAGGATACCACGCTGATTCAGAATGTCCTGATCTCGAAGAATCTTTCCAGTGAAGATGAGCACCAATCGGTCAGTGTCACAGTGAAGGCGTTTGGAGATCTGTTTCTTAAAATGGTGGACACTGCAATTTTCTGCCAGCATAAATTCCTGGCAGTCCTGTGGGGTCTTTACAGACACTCTGATCATGTGTGAAACTGGTTCCCGTCCAGATACCAGTCGGCTGTCCCCTGCTTCTTTCCTAGCTTGTGCCATATTCCCTTGAGAACAGAATGCAGGGCCACCTGAGGACACCGTGGGGCACAGACCTGTAGAAGCCTAGATGTGGCGCTGGGCACACCTGGGAGCAGGGACCAGTAGGTGTCCAGTGATGTCCTCTCACCCCCGTCCTGCAGATGCCACCTCCCAGGGCAGCCCTGTAGCCACCTGGCTCCCATAGGGGTGGCAGCTACTCTTCTCCTGGGGTCAGCCTTATGTCAGATGATGTAAGTAATGAGGTCACAGTTGAAAGGTAGACTTGAATGGGGAACTGAAAAGGTCTCCACTACTTGCCTAAGATTAGAGTCTCTTTATGATTTGATTTAAACAGCAACAGAAAAAAAAATTAAGTCTCTGTATAAGAACATGTTTCATATCAGCCTGTTCCACTGTGGAAAACCCTACATTTCAGTTTGAATAAATAAATAATGTAAATGGCTAAATAAAAAAGACACAGGTCTAAGGGTTATCTTAGGAAGTACTAATTTTGAAGTAGTCATCTATTCTCTACTAAGCACTCACCACGGCCCTTCCGAGGCTTCACATCCTTATTTCTACGTGAACAGAATGAAGATATATATAATTACTCCACCCAGTTTCACTCAGCTTACATTTCTGAGTCTCCAGGTTGATTAATCCACCCAGATGACTATAAAAAAGACACCATCCTACTGCCCAAACAAGAAATTATAAACAAGGCTTTTATCAGAAAAATAAACTGATCTCAAATTTGAGGATCAGAACTGAGACAAGAGAAATCACAAGAATCTTCAAAAGGTTTATGGAAAATGTGTGTTATGACAAATTATGCATGCATTTTTTTGCCACAATGTAAGTTCATATTTTAATTCCATTTTCCTACAATTTATTTGAAGTTCCTAGGTATGAATTGACTATTAGGTTTAAGATGTTAACATTGAGAAGAAGGTTCCACATGGCTCCAGCAAACTAGATTTTTCAGGGAATGAAGATTTTCTACTGATAATTCAGCCTCCAACAAAAGAGCTAGCGGTAGGGAGCCCCACCCCCCAGCACACCCAGCCTTCTATCACTGTTTCTCTGTCTCGGTTCCTGTCTCTCCCTGCTCCTGTCTCTCCCTTTTTTTTTTGTAATTTTTCCTTTTTACACTTTTTTAAAAAGGCGCAGTTTTTCTCTGGCTCTCAGCTCCACCTCTTATCTTGTTAATTATCGCTCTGGTCCTCCCTCCCAGGCAGAAGAAGCCAGGCCTTCAGAAGAAGGTTGCACATGGCTCCAGCAAACTAGATTTTTCACGCGGCGCGCAAGCACGCTGCACAGTTTTCTCTTTTGTGATTTCTTTTTTAAAAAAAAGAACAGTAATTACAATATTTTTTTGTCTTTTTTTTTCTTTTTGTTGTTTCTCTTTTTCATTTTCCTTTTTCTTGTCTCTCCACCCTCCAATATCCATTCATTGTGTTTTTAGACGGATCTAAGAGCACTGTAGCTAAACATCCAAATAC